AACAAATTTTTTGATTTCTTTAGGGTGACCCTCCAAAGTTTGGGTTGTATGCAGCACTTTTGCCAAAATCGTAAATAGGAATTATTGCAATAGCATATATCATACAACCCAAACTTCAAAGTTGCCCTAACTAATTTAAATATTTTATCCTTACAGAATCTAGATATTTTTAATTTGGCAAATTTTTTTTTTACTAAATGTCTACCAAAATTCAAGAAGTTAAAATAATACAGATAATCTTTTTTATCAACTCAAATTAACAAATACTTAACTTTAAAACTTTTAATTTTCGACAAAATATCGTAGTTTCACCGAAAATACTTCAATACATAAGAATACTTTTAGTATTCCAAAATACTTCTGGTATACAGGTTTAAATGACCCATAAAAGTATAAATTTTTTTTACTTCATTGTTTTTCTTTTAAGTTAATACAATAAATTATTTTGGGGCATTAATCATACTGCAAGTCTACAATCAATCGCCTCATCATTTTGTGTAAAGATGATACAAAATTCGAGAAAATTTTAACAATAGGGATAATTATTAATTATTGTAAAAATTTTTCTTAATCTCAAGCATTTATTGTTCTGTTTAATCATATGCTATTTACAATATAAAATAATGTACTACTAAATGAGTCATCACTTCTATTTAAACAATGCATTCTAAAAAGGCCAAATTTAAATAAAGGTTATTTTGATAAAATGGTTAATACCAAAAAACGAAAATCTAAAAAACAAACTAATTCCAATTCAACTTCAAATTCAGATACGGATTCTAAAAAAATTGATACTTCTAGTGATGAATCATTGAGCGAAAATGCTATCAACACAGGCCCTAATTCTGATAATTCCAATAAAAATAGCGATACTGATCATAGTATTATTGATAATTCTAATAAAACATCTAATGTTAAAGTACAAAGAAATGTTAGTTGGATTTGGCAATATTTTCGTAGAAGATGCCCATTAAAAAAGTGGAAAACGCGTGGAAATTGTACTATGATTATAAAAAGTAAAAAGTTTCCAGATGGACAAGAATATGGTCAGTTAGTTAAAACTCAAGGTTCAACTAGTAATTTTCAAACACATTTAAATATGCACGGAATTACTAAACCTACCAAGATTATTAATACAAATGCATAACCAACAATCACCGAAATGTTTCATCGTGCTGCTGGACAGAATTTATATCAAAAG